GAGAGAGAGAGAGAGAGAGAGAGAGAGAGAGAGAGAGAGAGAGAGAGAGAGAGAGAGAGAGAGAGAGAGAGTTTCTATTTCAAGTGCATGTGAGAAACACATCCCATCACGATAGGTTAGAAAATGCACAAGTCCAGCCCCTTTATGTTTGCCGTTGTCACTTACCACACAAGGGTCATGTTCGTGGTCTCGCTTTGGCGTAGCTGAGACGGTAGAGAGCTGTAGGCAGTTGCAGACGTTGCGCAGCGATTCCCTGTATTCCTCTTTATTGAATCTTTCCATAACAGCTATAGCTCCAAAGCTCGACCCATAGGTTGGAGGGGTGAGGACACTCTCGTTATCGCTCTCCTCTCCTGAGCGCTGCACGGGTACTGCCACAACTCCAGGTGGGCAGGTGACACCAACTTTCTGCATGCCACTTGCCAATTGTGCTGGTAGGTGGGTTCCAAGCCTACAAGTCTCATAAACTGCAACCATGAAAAAAGGCAATGAAGAAGATGCATCAGGAACACCGTCATGGATAGGAGAGGGCATCGAGGAAGGGCAGATCTGCAAAAGTACAATGGCACAGAAACTTTGTGACCAACTCTTAAGAATCCAAGAGCCAGGGTTAGGGAGAGCTAGCTGATCATGGTTTGTCCGGCGCTCAGGTACAGGGCGGAAGAGGCTTTTCCCTTCCCCTTCATTACGCCTGCTCTCCAGAGCAATCATGGGAAATTCGAGCACTAAAGGGCCTTTGTATTTGATCCTGCTCAGATCCTGCTCTTCTTCAATTTCTTGCTCCTTACGCAGGTTGTGCTATGGGAGAACTTTTCCGAGACGATGGAATGCACGCTCTAATTATCTATGATGATCTGGCAGGTCTCAGAATACTTTCAGATGTTATCCAAGGGACGCTGGACCCATTTTCCAGCAGGTGCAGCTCCCAACCAATAGACCTGGAGCAACAAGATGGCAGCTGGTGAAAGGCATTCCACGATGCAGACCCCAAATTCGAATTCAAGGGTCAAGGTCTCAGGCCAAGGGAGGCCAGGTTGGCCAGTTCAAAGGTCACATTCGGGTAACTTAGGAGTCAAGTCCAACGGGCACCTGTCACCCGGTGAACAGTCACAACCCAAAGGCAAAGGTTGCATTCTATAAGCAAAAGTCACAAAAGTCATATCCCACAAGGAAAGGACACTTCCCCAGGCAAAAGTCCTGTCCCGGAGGCAAGAGTTACATCCCACAATCAAAAGTCATGTTCCACAGATGAAAACTCGCGACTCACAGACCCAAGCAGCAGCACACCAATGCAATTCGGGAAAGTACCAGGCCTTGACAGTCTGAAGCAAGCAGGCCGTGGGCATGTGGTACCCCCAAGTCAAGCCAAAGGAAGAAAAGACTGGGACAAGTTGAGGCTCAGTCCAAGTCAATATAAGGACTGGCAAGCCACATTTCGGACAGAATGCTCATTCCTAAGAAGTGTGGAAGTGCTGCTGAAGCGCTTGTGCGCTATGTGCAAGTGGCATGCGCAAGAGCCCTGCTGGGCAGCGCTGTGCTGGGAGGGAAGGCAGCCATAGCCGCATAGCTAGTAGTAGAAGACAGAGCTGATTAGTAGCGGATGTATTCACAGAGAGAGAGAGAGAGAGAGAGAGAGAGAGAGAGAGAGAGAGAGAGAGAGAGAGAGAGAGAGAGAGAGAGAGAGAGAGAGAGAG